TGGTACCGTATTTGGCCCCAAAAAAGTTTCTAATAAAAATTTCATACTCGTCAATCACAATCTTACAGTTCTAACGGAGTGACGATGAAGAATAAGAGAAGATATCTATAATTCTTTTTTCATTTTCTATAATACTCTAATGAGTCAACCTTAATTCAATTCTAATAAGAAGAAGAGAGGCGAGCAGTGGCGGGGCTGATTAGGGTTTTTGAAATGAAATTCTCTTCAATCTATAATCCATCTTTATATGCATCTCTTATACATATACATACTAGTTGGATTAACATATCACATATGAAAATGGGCTTCACTCAATTATTATTATTATTATTTTAAAATATTAAAAATTAAAAAAAAAATATTACATATTTTTTAAACACATATCAATCTTTTCTTAGGCCACATCCTTACATGCTCTAAGACAAATATTATCATTTCGTACTTACAACCTTATATTTTTATCCAAATTCTAACTTGAGGTAATGCCTTTAAATACCATGTACTAGTTAATTGGCACAATAAAAATATGTAGTGAAACATGCATGCGGTTATATTAACAATTTAACACAGCACGGTCTCTCTACCCCACACACACACACACAAACACAAATCCCTGAACTAAATATGCAGACCTCGTGATCATTGTCATGCCAACTAACAAACTGGCATTTAGCAAATTAGTTTTGAAAATTATATACTCAATTATTAATAATTAAATTGCATAACAAATCACCTATGGACTTTCAGTTTTACTATTCTTCATATCATTCTCATTGTCATGCCTAGTCCAACACTTTGTCAAGAGTCAAATACATTTGGAAATTGAATTTCACAAGGTAAAGAAATTGATGATGCGTTAGTTTGAATTATGTTTCGCAACATCCATCGCGTTAAAAACCATAGTTTGTAGTAACATATTCGAACAATCAATATAAACTGACCAATACATGTTGCATATCGAACTTCAAAAATGTTCCCGATCAGACCACCATGGTTTGAACGATTTGATACTCCCAAACATAGCTTTAAAGTCTTTGAAATGAAATCCTTGTTTGAAAATAATTGAAATTTTAAGATGCTAAAATATTTACTCGTCCATCTGAAGCTGTGGGCTCAGTTAGCAAGCTCACAGAATATCCAGCCTCTGGCTAAATCAAATGCAGAACAAAGTTTCTTCGAGTTATGTCTCTGCCAACAACCGCTGGAAGCATACGTTTAAATACAGCCCTTACCATTTTCATGAAACTAAAGACCCCTTTCTCATTAAGGGTGTCTCACTCCCTTAGACAGCCCTCAAATTATAGGCATGCCACCTGTTTTTAACATTTTTTCGGAGTTCCATACCAGACATTGGAGAGTTTACAAGATCAACACAGATTACAAAAAGTGTATACATCCGCGCAATCCATCTTCTGCGTTGGGCTTGATACTCTACAAGAAAAAACACACTGCATTAGAATATTAATTACATGATTGCACTGGTTATTCAAATTCTTACAACCATCACAACTGTAATACCATCTTTAATCATATAAGTAGATTACCCTCCACAACTATAATCAGCTACACTTTTTCTTATCTAGCCTAGTACTAACAATGGATATTATCCTCGTCTCAAATCCTCTTTAAAACTTTTTGACAATACAAAAAATTGCACTCTTATTTAGCTGCCTATTCTAACTGTCCTCAAATTTTGAGTAGTGACTACTCTCTATCTGGATCTAATTTTTCATACCACCAATATTACTAAACAGTCCAATATTACTAAAATTGTACACAATGATTAAATCCGAACTCACCATGAATGGGAATCTTCTCACTGCTGGACATTTGTTCGAGTGCAGTGCGCGCAGTAAATTTCAGATTTGGAGCATATAGATCACATCTTCCCACCTCCCACACCCCTCGTGCGGATCAGCTCAGAGGCACACACCAACTCATCTGGTGTTGAAACAGAGATGGTGTACATCCCCGGAAAAGGTCCTCAATCTCTACAAGTTTCCCCCACTTTCTTTGATTCTTTGCTCACATGATTTTAAATCAGTCCGAACACTTGCCAATTCTAAACGGGCCAATTGGCAAGTGTTCGGACTGATTTGAAGCTTTGTTACCCAAACATGTTTTGGGCTTATTGGAAGCTTTGTTACCCAAACATGTTTAGGATTGGGCCGAAGGCCCTTTTCTGTAAATAGCTCTTTGTCAATATATTTGCTTCATAAGCTTACCCATTTAACAATATATATATATATATATATATATATATATATATATATATATTTGCTTCATTTTTCAAAAATAAAAAAACCTATGACGCATACGCTTTTTGCATGCTTTAGAGCAAGGCTTGCATAGAAACTTTGCGGGCTACGTGGGAATATCACATCACTGCCAACAATTTTGCAAATTGCTTTGAATCTCAGCACAACCTCTTTGAAGGACCCATCCCGCCAAATCTTTTTCAATTGACTAGATTAGAAGTTCTGGATCTCTCCAACAACAGATTCTCGAGTGAGATTCCAGCATATCTGACCAGAATGGCAGGCTTAACGCAGGTTTAACTGTCGAACAATCAACTGTCTAGAGTTATACCGAAGTTTTAATCATTTGTTGTGGTTGTTACAAATGGGAATAAGGGTCTGATATACGCACCAGCACCAACACCGCAGTCTTACAAACCCTAGCATTACGACCTTTCCTTTTCTCTTCTCTAAGAACTGAAAACCACTCGGTCACTATCTCGAGTTTACACTTAGGAACTTTACCAATATAAGTCGTATATAACTGTGAGGATATTGATAGTATTTCACAATTTTAATTTTATTTGCTTTTTTTAAAATGTTAATTATAATGGACATTTTTGTAAATGTACAACGCCGGTACAGGAAATGAGCCGGAAAGGACTGTCAGGGGGTGAAACTGATCATTTCTGATAGTTGAGGAACTGACTTGCTCGATTTTGTAGTTCAGAGGGGTAAAATGCTGATTTCTAAAACTTGAAGGGGGTTTTATGCTTTTTTGCCATATTTATATATATATATATATATATATATATATATATATATATATATATATATACTAGGGTTATTGAACGATCTGGTGTTGCGCACCTTAGAGGTATAATAATGTCATCAAACGTTGAAAAGGAAAGTTGTAGGACCCGTGTCAGTTTGTGGCGAGACAAGAACCATTCTAAACTTTAAAAAAAAAAAAAATCACATTTGCACCTGACTTTTGTTAAAAATAAATAAATATATATATATATATATATATATAAATCACTCTAAAAATATATAATTGGACTTTTTAGTTTTTACTGAGTTAATTTGGTTAGCGTGAATTATCTAAAAAGATAAATGGCACGCGCACACACACACATATATATTTATTAACCAATTGTATTTGTTATTTTATTACTATATTTATTGCATAGTATATATTACTTAGTATTGAATTCGAATCCATAAAGATACGTTTTGTATGTAAAATTATTTTTCTTTTCACTCTCTTTCCTTTTTTCTTTATTTTTTTCTTCTTTTTTTTTTAACTTTTTATCATCAATTTCTTTTAAAAAAATTAATGCTAACCAAATGCCTGATAAAACTTAATTTTTTTTTTTTTTTTTTTCACTTCACTTCCTTTTTCTTTCACTTTTTATCGTCAATTTCTAACTAACCAAACAGGCCATAACAAAATTTGAAACAAATTGTCCTTTAGAATTTCACAAGGGACAATAAAACGCTCAGCAAAGATAGAATTCATATTTCATATATAAAATTATTCATTTACATTACCCAACATCAACATCTTCATAATTATATCATTTGTGTTCTTTTTTTACTCACGTCAAAGCGGTCTCCCCTCTCTATGGTACCGTATTTGGCCCCAAAAAAAAGTTTCTAATAAAAATTTCATACTCGTCAATCACAATCTTATAGTTCTAACCGAGCGGCGAGGAAGAATAAGAGAAGATATCTATAATTCTTTTTTCATTTTCTATAATACTCTAATGAGTCAACCTTAATTCAATTCTAATAAGAAGAAGAGAGGCGAGCAGCGGCGCTGATTAGGGTTTTTGAAATAAAATTCTCTTCATTCTATAATCCATCTTTATATGCATCTCTTATACATATACATACTAGTTGGATTAACATATCACATATGAAAATGGGCTTCACTCAATTTTTTTATTATTATTATTTTTTAATTTTTTATTTTTAAATATTACAAATTTTTTAAAAAATATTACATATTTTTAAACACATATCAATCTTTTATTAGGCCACATCCTTACATGCTCTAAGACAAATATTATCATTTCGTACTTACTTACTTACTTACAACCTTATATTTTTATCCAATATGTAGTGAAACAGGCATGCGGTTATATTAACAATTTAACACCGCACGGTCTCTCTACCACACACACACACACACAAACACAAATCCCTGAACTAAATCGGCAGACCTCGTGATTATTCTCATGCCAACTAACAAACTGGCATTTAGCAAATTAGTTTTGAAAATTATATACTCAATTATTAATAATTAAATTGCATAACAAATCACCTATGGACTTTCAATTTTACTATTCTTCGTATCATTCTCATTGTCATGCCAGTCCAACACTTTGTCAAGAGTCAAATACATTTGGAAATTGAATTTCAGAAGGTAAAGAAATTGATGATGCGTTAGTTTGAATTATGTTTCGCAACATCCATCACGTTAAAAACCATAGTTCATAATAACATATTCGAACAAAATTCGTATAAATTGACCAATAAATGTTACACATCGAACTTGAAAAAATGTCCCCTACCAAACCATACAACGAACCATGGTTTGAACGATTTGATACTCCCAAACATAGCTTTAAGGTATTTGAAATGAAATCCTTGTTTGAAAATAATTGAAATTTTAAGATGCTAAAATATTTACTCGTCCATCTGAAGCTGTGGGCTCAGTTAGCAGGCTCAGAATATCCAGCCTCTGGCTAAATCAAATGCAGAACAAAGTTTCTTCGAGTTATGTCCCTGCCAACAACTGCTGGAAGCATACGTTTAACTACAGCCCTTACCATTTTCATGAAACTAAATCAGAAACAATTCATTGAAAAAAAGACCCCTTTCTCACGAAGGGTGTCCCACTCCCTTAGACAGCCCTCAAATTATAGGCATGCCACCTGTTTTTAACATTTTTTCAGCGTTCCATACCAGACATTGGAGAGTTTACAAGATCAACACAGATTACCACACATTGGAGAGTTTACAAGATTACAAAAAGTGTCTACATCCGCACAATCCATCTTCTGCGTCGGGCTTGATACTCTACAAGAAAAAAACCACACTGCATTAAAATATTAATTACATGATTGCACTGCTTATTCAAATTCTGACAACCATCACAACTGTAATACCATCTTTAATCATATAAGTAGATTACCCTCCACAACTGTAATCCAGCTATACTTTTTCTTATTCTAGCCTAGTACTAACAATGGATATAATCCTCTGGTCTCAAATCCTCTTTATTTTTTACCAAAACTTTTTGACAATACAAAAAATTGCACTCTTATTTAGCTGCCTATTCTAACTGTCCTCAAATTTTGAGTAGTGACTACTCTTTATCTGGATCTAATTTTCATACCACCAATATTACTAAACAGTCCAATATTACTAAAATTGTACACAATGATTAAATCCGAACTCACCATGAATGGGAATCTTCTCACTGCTAGACATTTGTTCGAGTGCAGTGCGCACAGCAAATTTCAGATTTGGAGCATATACAATCTGAGCTCACATCTTCCCACCTCCCACACCCCTCATGTGGATCAGCTCAGAGGCACACACCAACTCATCTGGTGTTGAAACAGAGATGGTGTACATCCCCGGAAAAGGTCCTCAATCTCTACAAGTTTCCCCCACTTTCTTTGATTCTTTGCTCACATGCTTTTCAAATCAGTCCGAACACATGCCAAATTCGCCTGTTAGGGATGGGTTTGAGATCAAGTAGGCGATGACCCGTTTGGAATTGGCAAGTGTTCGGACTGATTTGAAAGCATGTGAGCAAAGAATCACAGAAAGTGAGGGGAAACTTGTAGAGATTGAGGACCTTTTCCGGGGATGTACACCATGAGTTGGTGTGTGCCTTTGAGCTGATCCACATGAGGGGTGGTGGGAATATGCGAGCTCATGTGGTGTTGAAACAGAGATGGGAAACATTTCCCGGAAAAGGTCCCCTGAAAAAGTCCTCATCTGGTGTTGAAACAAAGATAGCGTACATCCCCGGAAAAGGACCCCAATCTCTACAAGTTTCCCCTCACTTTCTTTGATTCTTTGTTCATAGGATTTCAAATCGATCATATCTCAAGCTCATCCTTTAACTCCTTCAGACGCTTCATCTCATCGGTGAGATCAATGTACCGGCATAGCTTACAAAGTGATAGCATATTCATCTTCTTTCGTTCCATTCTGCTGAGAATAATAATTGATCAGAGCATTATAAGCAAAGGTTATGCCCTAGCAACATATTAATTTCATTCAACGTATCAATAATGTTATCTGAGAAACAAGTATAGAAAACAGTCCAACAGCCAATTAACATAAAAAAATAATAATAATAAAATAAAAAAAAAACAATCAATTTTTAATAAATGCGGCATAACAATCTTATAGAATAAAACTACTTGATCTCACATATAAATAAACAAGAATAGAAAACAATCTAGGGTAGTCTATTAACTTACAAAAAAAAAAAAAAATCAATTTTTAGTAAATGGGACATAACAATCTTGTAGAATAGAACTACTTCGATCTCACATTTATTAAATAAGGGCAGATACATAGAACACTCAATTAACTTATTAAAAAAAAACAATCAATTTTTAGCGAATGGGGCATAACAATCTTATAGAATAGATGTCAAATCCTAACTTTCAAATTCCAAAATGTGGGAAAATAAGAAGAAAATAAATTAAAAATCATTGCAAATAACTTTAAACTTGAGCCTCATTTTTTAGTTTATTTTATTCATATATATATATATACATTTCCAAAAATATCTGGGTACTAGTTAATAATATGTACATCGTTCATATTTTGTCTAGCTAAGGGTCCAAAATCACGCAATCGATGAGCAATAATATGTTAATAAGTGTACATAAGTACAAAAGACGATGAATCTGAGTTCCTCAATAATGTCATTTCTAAGAGTATTGGCCTTCAAGACAATCTTATAGAATAGAACTACTTGATCTCACATATAAATAAACAAGAATAGAAAACAGTTCAGGTAGTCAATTAACTTCCAAAAAAAAAACAATCAATTTTTAGTAAATTGGGGCATTGGGCATAACAATTTTGTAGAATAGAACTACTTGATCTCACATTTATTACATAAGGGCAGATAGAAAGAACAGTCAATTAACTTACAAAAAAAACAATCAATATTTAGTAAATGGAGCATAACGATCTTGTAGAATAGATGTCAAACCCCGACTTTCAAATTCCAAATTGTGGGATAAGAAGAAAATAAATTAAAACTCATTGCAAATAACCTTAAACTAAAGCCTTATTTATTAGTGAGCAATAATATGTTAATAAGTGTACATAAGTACAAAAGACAATGAATCTGAGTTCCCCAATTCATTCCTAACCCTTACAAATGAGGGTTGGCCTTCTTTTTCTATCTAAAAAAATTAGACACATAATCATCTTGTGTAAGGTCAAGGCACAATATTAGTCTGCAAACAGTTCCGAAGACAAATAGATGATCATCAAAGCAACCAACGTGCAACCTATTCAACACATTCAGTAAGGAAATGCACACAACAATTTATCTATGAAGGTTGAATCCTAAATTGATACATAAACACTAGATTATTCAATGGACTAGACAAGTACAAAAGTATCCGGAAACAAGATAAAAAAAAATAATGGTAAAATAAGATCAATGAAAAGAAAATTGGAATTTAAATACGAGATCTAATGAACATGTAGCTATTGCCACCTCAGACAATTGACTATAAAAATTGACTTTAATCGGGATCTAATTATCTTGTAAAAAATATATAAAATAAGTATTTCCATATCAGTAGTAAAATTAAAATTAACTGATACACATAAATATGGATACTGGCTAATTGAAAATTGCTGTTCAATTCAGCATATTACAAGGCTACATAAGATCAACAAAAGGAGTGTGATAGAGATCTGGTCTGAGTGTTGAATGAGTTACAAAATTTGGAGAACCCACTGGATCGAGGGGTCTACATAACATATGAACCAGTAGAAAGAGAAAACCTAGATCTAGGGTTTCGTTTCAGCCTCAAGGGAGAGATCTAACTAGAAACGGTGGGAGAGACTAACCTGCTTCAAGCTGTCATCGGTCTCCTTCGCTATCGCCGGCGATGGCTCTGTGTCTTTAGCGCGAGAAAATGACGATCTGACTGAGTATTTCCGAATAACCCTTGAAGAAGCAAAGAAGATAATGAAGATTTTAGGGCTTTACACACACGAGGGAGCACTCTGGAAGGCATTTGCCTAGCGAGGCCTCCATCGTAAGGCGAATACCTTTAGCGTGGTCGACGACTTCGATGGTGTTCTAGGATCTCTCGAATGCTTCGAGGAGGTAGAGATCGACGCCGCTGTTTAAAGTGTCGGCGACGGCCATCGTCGGCGACGGCTCGAGGAAGGTCATCAATGTTGTCGGTGGAGGCTCATTTGTGATTGGGGATGTGGTTGCGAGGAAGGTCGTCAACTCGTTGCGAGCGTTTGCGTTTTTGGTTTCGATTGAGGAAAGAGAGTAGAGAGCGTAAGTGAGTGGAGAGAGAATTTGAGGTGAGCGAGAAGAAATAATTATGGGGCGGAGAGGTTAGGGATTGGTGGTGGGTTTGAGGGAGAAGCAGTGGCGGCTTGTTAGGGTTACTTTTTCTTTAATACTGTAATTCGTTTGGCCGCAAAAAAAAAAAAAAAAACAAAAAACAAAAAAAAAAGAATTAAGTTTTTTTTAATTTTTAAATAAAAAAAATTAAAAAGAATTATTTTTTTCTTTGTCATTAAAAAGAATTATTTTTAGATCACGGTTTTTAGAGTTCTCTGAATATAAGTTTTTTTTTTTAAAAATTTTTAAATTGAGTTTTTTATTATTTTTTTCCAAAGTTGGAGATAGATACCTGGTAGCCCACAAGATAGGACGTTGGTCTCGTCTGTCAAATAATTGGCCCAAACAAAATGGTCCTTTAGCATGAGGGGGCTTGGTCCATAAACATTTGGATGGGCTTTTTAAGAAAAAGATCCAAACTGCAGGACTGCAGATAGAGATTCCATGGAGTAATCCTATTGCGTCTATTTTTATTTAGAGTGAGAACTTCCTTTCTCGACCAAAAATCCAATCTTTAAAACAAAAAATCCAATCTTTGTTTGTCCCATGAAGAAACTAGTGCTCATATTCAATCTCACACTTTGTGGTAACTCTTCTTCTGCTTTAGACGTGATTTCTGTGTTTTCTTCTTCACAATAATTCCTATTAGATTTGTTTTCATAAATTCTTTTCTTCTTTACATAAATTTCTATTAAATTTAGAGTTGTCATAAGCTCCTTTGTTTTAGTTTTAGTTTTAGTTTTTTGAAAGGTCTATTAGATTTGTTTTCATAAACTCTACTTTACAAAAATTTCTATTAAATTTAGAGTTGTCAAGCTCCTTTAATCGGTAATTGTGTTTTTTTTGGGTAGCCTATGCAGAGATTATTAGCTAGAAATTATGAGTAAAAGAACGCAAAAGCACGAGGTACAATATTTTATATTTTATATGCATATAAATCTTTCAAAATTTATATTCGGTCTCTCTCTGTCTCTCTTTTTTTTTTTTTTTTCCGCCAATTGGATTAGCATGTTGTTTTTGCAGAAGCATTCTTTTTCATTTTTTTATTTTTAAAATTATTTTGGTTCATCAGAGTCAGAACTACATTGAGGATGGGATCAGTCGGCTGCCGGATGAAATTACTGTTTCAGTTCTCTGTCTTCTGGGAATTTTGATGCTTCACAAACAATTTTTGATCTTGAATCGAATCCAAAGTTACTGAAAGTAGAAAGATGTAGGTACATAAGTTGGGTGAACAAAGTCACGGAGTCGCATCGTGGTTCAACCATAGATGAGTTTAGGGTTTCTTTTTGTTTGAATAGATCTTCTAGTTGTGTGATTGATAGATGGATTGAGTTCGCGATAGCAAAGAGAGTTCAAAGGCTTGAGGTGGACTTGGAACCATGTTACTATGGATTGAGTCCCGATAGCAAAGAGAGCTCTAGAAAATTGGTTTGAGTCTGACTGCAGATATTTTTTGTACAAAATTATACCAAATGTTAGGTCTTGAATCTTGATCGAGTCCATCCTCCCCACATCACACTTAACCCCAACACTAGGTAGTGAATTTTTAAAATTTTTATTAATATTAACTCATGCTTTTCAGGCTAATGCAGCATTCGAACAACTTCCTGAATTTAGCAAGCTCAAGCACTTGACATTGCAACTTGTAGCAGATTATTTTTCAAAACTTCTCGTTTGGACTACCTTGATAAATGGATCACCTTTGCTGCATAAATTTAAATTGCAGGTAATTATAAATTTTTTTTATATAGATGTTTTGTATAATGACACTGGATAATTATTTCTCGTGTCTTCCTCTCTCAGTCTCAGCAATGGCCATGGATAGAAGTCACTTGCATTTGATAATGGTCTTCTTTATATGAAGTTTTTAAATTTTTCAGTTAAAATTGTAGTAATCTATGTAATTGGAAGTCATTAAAAAATAAAAATAAAAATAAAAATCTGTGTAGGATCCATCATGTAAATAACAGTGTATCATATATCTACTTGAAGTTGAAAGACATAACCGAAAAATAAAAAGCATATTACAATTGAAATATATATTGGTCGTTGCTTAGTAACTAAATCTCAATTTGTACTAACGGAGTATGTTGTTTTATTTTATTTTATTTTAATCTGTTATAGCAGTTCCATAAAGAAAGGCACGAGAGGGTCACAACCAATGCATATTGGATGTAATCAGGGCAAGATAAGTTGAGTGGGGTAGTTCTTTAGTGTTTTGTTTGATCTGTAAATCTAGCTAAGATTGAAAGACAAGTTTTATAGAGCAACTAATAGACCAATTTTTTTTTACTGGATAGAATGCTAGGCAATTAAGAAACAACATATATCCTTAACATTTACATATATGCAATGTTTTTGCTAATTACCTATTATATATTTTTAGTTACAATTATATTCTTGTCCAATACTAAAAAGTGTCAATTGCATCTTTTTAGATATGTTGATCCTGTTTCAAAATTTGTTGGGGATGACTTTTTTTTTTACATATATGCAATGTGGTACACAAGAATTGTTTTAGTCTTAAAATAATGAAATTTAATTTTGAGTTACGGACACATAAATGAAAGAGATACTTCCTTTTAGTGTCCCCTACGACAATATTGTTTTTCAATGAGTTGGCACGGCTGTCCATGTACGTAATTACACTATGTGAAGTGTTTGGTACATTTTTAAAATCAATTTAGCCTTGCTCGGATTCTGGAATCAACGTCCTATTTCGATTACAACTTGATTGAGCAAATATGTAGGGTATTATCCTAGTTTTTTAAATACTGATTAAGTTTCTTTGCTAATGGCTAGATGCTGATAAATTATTAATGATAGTTCTAGTACGATAGTTAAACTTCAGCCACAGAAGTTCCATTTCTAATATCTCCTCTCTTTTTTTGGTGCGGGGTTGAAGAAAGACTTTATAGACTCGTTTACCACTATTTTTAGTGTGAGGAGCATAATTTTTTTGTACATGGAAACTTTAACATACTGCTTTAATGTAAATCAGCACTCTGCTATAACTAAATTTAATTATTGTAAGTTGTTAATCTTTAATGAAGTGCTTGTTTGGATGTCATAACTGTTCCATCAATACTTCGTGGTATGCCCCTGTTTTCGTTGTTGAGTATCACTATGCGTTGGGACAGCTTTTGATTTGGCTGGTATATTTCCTTGAGTTTGAAATGCCTTATTTTTGTGCATTACCATTTCTTCTAAACCTGCAGGGAAATATATATATATATATATATATATATATATATATATATGTCTATTCCAAGTCTTTATTTTATGCCTTTTGGTAGTGTTAAAAGTTTCATACATTCAATTATATATATATGTATGTATATATGTATGTATCTCCTTCGGTTATACTCCTCGGCTAGACAAATAAGTTTAAATAGCGTTACTCATATTTTAAAAGAGCATGATTCACCACTTTTCTGTTTCACAGATAGAATATTTGGGACCTCGTGAGAAGCGATATGAAAGAAAAATGCTTGAAGGTGGCAATTGCCCCCATCAAAGCCTAAAGGAGGTGGAATTGGCTGGGTTTGTTGGCCGAGTTATTGACCTCGAGTTTGCCCACTACTTGATTAAGAATGCCGTCACATTGGAGAAGATTATAATTGATCGTCATTGTACAATTCGTGCTAGCAGACCAAGCCCGTGGCTGTTTGAGGAAACCAAGGAGAAACAATGCAAAACAGCGTGCTATGGAACTCCAAAAAAGTCTACCTTCAAGAATAAAAATGGAAATTATTTAATCTTGCTCAACTACATTTCGTTGCTGCTTGATGTTTAGTTTGTTCGTAGTTCTAAGATAATAAGTTGATTATTGGCAATTTGTTTGTACTTCTAAGAGAGTTTCGTGACTCTAACTATTACTACTACAACATCTAGTCCGCGCCTTTTTCTAGCTGGGGAAGGACAGGTAGATTTCTCGGAGTTTGAGTTCGTTTATTTCGTCGGAGCTTGGTTCTTGTCCCCCGAGAATTAGCTGCTGTTTGAAAAAATTTGAGGGACGTAGAGTGAGTGTGGAGTTACTTGCTGAAGTAATAAATAAAAATTCTCCTAATGTTTTATAAGCTGTTATTGAAAGTAGAACTGTTAATTTTAAATTCATAATGGTTTGAACTTTAATATTTGGTGTTTAGTGATAACTCGTTGATATTGTGTGCGCAAAGAGTGGATGTGCCATATTATACTGTGTGCCTATTCGATTCATTTACAAAGTTGAATTTTTATTTATTTATTTATTTTTCAAAACATTTTTAGGTTTTGAAATTTAAGGGAAAAATGAATATATATGAAGTTTTGGGATTCGGTGAACAGCGGACAAGAAGAAACAAAAAAATCCATATATAATACTTTAAAAAGAAACGTCCACCTATCAATTTTTCGAATGGTATGAGTTTTTTCAACACGTTGGCCACAAAACTGAAAACAAAAGAATATTTGAGCCAAATTCTAAAATAACTTCGAATTTTTTTTTAGTAATTTTTATACACCACCGGTCTAGTGGTATTTTATTTTCTCTCTTTTAAATAAATATATATGTGTGTGTGTGTGTGTGTGTGTATATATATATATATATATATATATATATATATATATATATTGAAAAAACAAAATGAAAATATTTTTTATTTTTATTTCTATACACCAACAACACGATAAATATGCAATTGCATTATAAGATGTGTATTATGTAATATGGACACAGATACACATGACACAAATATATTGACACGTCAAATTTTTAAAAAAATATAAATTTTTATTTATATACTAATATTGTAAAATTTTAATTCATTTGTAATTTTTAAACTAAGAGTTGTAATGACTTTTATATTATTTTGAGTCATTCCTTACTCAGCTTGGCCTTGTACTATGCTTTCAATTATTTGGGCTTATTGGAAGCTTTGTTACCCAAACATGTTTAGGTTTGGGCCGAAGGCCCTTTTCTGTAAATAGCTCTTTGTCAATATATTTGCTTCATAAGCTTACCCATTTAACAAAATATATATATATATATATATATATATTTGCTTCATTTTTCAAAAATAAAAAAACCTATGACGCATACGTTTTTTGCATGCTTTAGAGCAAGGCTTGCATAGAAACTTTGCGGGCTACGTGGGAATATCACATCACTGCCAACAATTTTGCAAATTGCTTTGAATCTCAGCACAACCTCTTTGAAGGACCCATCCCGCCTAATCTTTTTCAATTGACTAGATTAGAAGTTCTGGATCTCTCCAACAACAGATTCTCGAGTGAGATTCCAGCATATCTAACCAGAATGGCAGGCTTAACGCAGGTTTAACTGTCGAACAATCAACTGTCTAGAGTTGTACCGAAGTTTTAATCATTTGTTGTGGTTGTTACAAATGGGAATAAGGGTCTGATATACGCACCAGCACCAGCACCGCAGTCTCACAAACCCTAGTATCACGACCTTTCCTCTTCTCTTCTCTAAGAACTGAAAACCACTCGGTCACTATCTCGAGTTTACACTTAGGAACTTTACCAATATAAGTCGTATATAACTGTGAGGATATTGATAGTATTTCACAATTTTAATCTTATTTGCTTTTTTTAAAATGTTAATTATAATGGACATTTTTGTAAATGTACAACGCCGGTACAGGAAATGAGCCGGAAAGGACTGTCAGGGGGTGAAACTGATCATTTCTGATAGTTGAGGGACTGACTTGCTCAATTTTGTAGTTCAGATGGGTAAAATGCTGATTTCTAAAACTTGAAGGGGGTTTTATGCTTTTTTGCCATATATATATATATATACTAGGGTTATTGAACGATCTGGTGTTGCGCACCTTAGAGGTATAATAATGTCATCAAACGTTGAAAAGGAAAGTTGTAGGACCCGTGTCAGTTTGTGGCGAGACAAGAACCATTCTAAACTTTTTATAAAAAAAAATCATATTTGCGCCTGACTTTTGTTAAAAATAAATAAATAAATAAATATATATATATATAAATCACTCTAAAAATATATAATTGGACTTTTTAGTTTTTACTGAGTTAATTTGGTTAGCGTGAATTATCTAAAAAGATAAATGGCACGCGCGCACACACACATATATATTTATTAACCAATTGTATTTGTTATTTTATTACTATATTTATTGCATAGTATATATTACTTAGTATTGAATTCGAATCCATAAAGATACGTTTTGTATGTAAAATTATTTTTCTTTTCACCCTCTTTCCTTTTTTTTTTTTTTTTCTTTTTTTTACTTTTTATCATCAATTTCTTTTAAAAAAATTAATGCTAACCAAATGCCTGATAAAACTTAATTTTTTTTTTTTTTTTTTTTTCACTTCACTTTCTTTTTCTTTCACTTTTTATCATCAATTTCTAACTAACCAAACAGGCCATAACAAAATTTGAAACAAATTGTCCTTTAGAATTTCACAAGGGACAATAAAACGCTCAGCAAAGATAGAATTCATATTTCATATATAAAATTATTCATTTACATTACCCAACATCAACATCTTCATAATTATATCATTTGTGTTCTTTTTTTACTCACGTCAAAGCAGTCTCCCCTCTCTATGGTACCGTATTTGGCCCCAAAAAAAAGTTTCTAATAAAAATTTCATACTCGTCAATCACAATCTTATAGTTCTAACCGAGCGGCGAGGAAGAATAAGAGAAGATATCTATAATTCTTTTTTCATTTTCTATAATACTCTAATGAGTCAACCTTAATTCAATTCTAATAAGAAGAAGAGAGGCGAGCAGCGGCGCTGATTAGGGTTTTTGAAATAAAATTCTCTTCAATCTATAATCCATCTTTATATGCATCTCTTATACATATACATACTAGTTGGATTAACATATCACATATGAAAATGGGCTTCACTCAATTTTTTTATTATTATTATTTTTTAATTTTTTATTTTTAAATATTACAAATTTTTAAAAAAATATTACATATTTTTAAACCCATATCAATCTTTTATTAGGCCACATCCTTACATGCTCTAAGACAAATATTATCATTTCGTACTTACTTACTTACTTACAACCTTATATTTTTATCCAATATGTAGTGAAACATGCATGCAGTTATATTAACAATTTAACACCGCACGGTCTCTCTACCACACACACACACACACACACACACACACAAACACAAATCCCTGAACTAAATCGGCAGACCTCGTGATTATTCTCATGCCAACTGACAAACTGGCATTTAGCAAATTAGTTTTGAAAATTATATACTCAATTATTAATAATTAAATTGCATCAGTTTTACTATTCTTCGTATCATTCTCATTGTCATGCCAGTCCAACACTTTGTCAAGAGTCAAATACATCTGGAAATTGAATTTCAAAAGGTCAAAAAAATTGATGATGCGTTAGTTTGAATTATGTTTCGCAACATCCATCACGTTAAAAACCATAGTTCATAATAACATATTCGAACAAAATTCGTATAAATTGACCAATAAATGTTACACATCGAACTTGAAAAAATGTCCCCTACCAAACCATACAACGAACCATGGTTTGAACGATTTGATACTCCCAAACATAACTTTAAGGTATTTGAAATGAAATCCTTGTTTGAAAATAATTGAAATTTTAAGATGCTAAAATATTTACTCGTCCATCTGAAGCTGTGGGCTCAGTTAGCAGGCTCAGAATATCCAGCCTCTGGCTAAATCAAATGCAGAACAAAGTTTCTTCTGAGTTATGTCCCTGCCAACAACTGCTGGAAGCATACGTTTAACTACAGCCCTTACCATTTTCATGAAACTAAATCAGAAACAATTCATTGAAAAAAAGACCCCTTTCTCACGAAGGGTGTCCCACTCCCTTAGACAGCCCTCAAATTATAGGCATGCCACCTGTTTTTAACATTTTTTCAGCGTTCCATACCAGACATTGGAGAGTTTACAAGATCAACACAGATTACCACACATTGGAGAGTTTACAAGATTACAAAAAGTGTTTACATCCGCACAATCCATCTTCTGCGTCGGGCTTGATACCCTACAAGAAAAAAACCACACTGCATTAAAATATTAATTACATGATTGCACTGCTTATTCAAATTCTGACAACCATCACAACTGTAATACCATCTTTAATCATATAAGTAGATTACCCTCCACAACTGTAATCCAGCTATACTTTTTCTTATTCTAGCCTAGTACTAACAATGGATATAATCCTCTGGTCTCAAATCCTCTTTATTTTTTACCAAAACTTTTTGACAATACAAAAAATTGCACTCTTATTTAGCTGCCTATTCTAACTGTCCTCAAATTTTGAGTAGTGACTACTCTTTATCTGGATCTAATTTTCATACCACCAATATTACTAAACAGTCCAATATTACTAAAATTGTACACAATGATTAAATCCGAACTCACCATGAATGGGAATCTTCTCACTGCTAGACATTTGTTCGAGTGCAGTGCGCACAGCAAATTTCAGATTTGGAGCATATACAATCTGAGCTCACATCTTCCCACCTCCCACACCCCTCATGTGGATCAGCTCAGAGGCACACACCAACTCATCTGGTGTTGAAACAGAGATGGTGTACATCCCCGGAAAAGGTCCTCAATCTCTACAAGTTTCCCCCACTTTCTTTGATTCTTTGCTCACATGCTTTTCAAATCAGTCCGAACACATGCCAAATTCGCCTGTTAGGGATGGGTTTGAGATCAAGGAGGCGATGACCCGTTTGGAATTGGCAAGTGTTCGGACTGATTTGAAAGCATGTGAGCAAAGAATCACAGAAAGTGAGGGGAAACTTGTAGAGATTGAGGACCTTTTCCGGGGATGTACACCATGAGTTGGTGTGTGCCTTTGAGCTGATCCACATGAGGGGTGGTGGGAATATGCGAGCTCATGTGGTGTTGAAACAGAGATGGGAAACATTTCCCGGAAAAGGTCCCCTGAAAAAGTCCTCATCTGGTGTTGAAACAAAGATAGCGTACATCCCCGGAAAAGGACCCCAATCTCTACAAGTTTCCCCTCACTTTCTTTGATTCTTTGTTCATAGGATTTCAAATCGATCATATCTCAAGCTCATCCTTTAACTCCTTCAGACGCTTCATCTCATCGGTGAGATCAATGTACCGGCATAGCTTACAAAGTGATAGCATATTCATCTTCTTTCGTTCCATTCTGCTGAGAATAATAATTGATCAGAGCATTATAAGCAAAGGTTATGCCCTAGCAACATATTAATTTCATTCAACGTATCAATAATGTTATCTGAGAAACAAGTATAGAAAACAGTCCAACAGCCAATTAACATAAAAAAATAATAATAATAAAATAAAAAAAAAACAATCAATTTTTAATAAATGCGGCATAACAATCTTATAGAATAAAACTACTTGATCTCACATATAAATAAACAAGAATAGAAAACAATCTAGGGTAGTCTATTAACTTACAAAAAAAAAAAAAAAATCAATTTTTAGTAAATGGGACATAACAATCTTGTAGAATAGAACTACTTCGATCTCACATTTATTAAATAAGGGCAGATACATAGAACACTCAATTAACTTATTAAAAAAAAACAATCAATTTTTAGCGAATGGGGCATAACAATCTTATAGAATAGATGTCAAATCCTAACTTTCAAATTCCAAAATGTGGGAAAATAAGAAGAAAATAAATTAAAAATCATTGCAAATAACTTTAAACTTGAGCCTCATTTTTTAGTTTATTTTATTCATATATATATATATACATTTCCAAAAATATCTGGGTACTAGTTAATAATATGTACATCGTTCATATTTTGTCTAGCTAAGGGTCCAAAATCACGCAATCGATGAGCAATAATATGTTAATAAGTGTACATAAGTACAAAAGACGATGAATCTGAGTTCCTCAATAATGTCATTTCTAAGAGTATTGGCCTTCAAGACAATCTTATAGAATAGAACTACTTGATCTCACATATAAATAAACAAGAATAGAAAACAGTTCAGGTAGTCAATTAACTTCCAAAAAAAAAACAATCAATTTTTAGTAAATTGGGGCATTGGGCATAACAATTTTGTAGAATAGAACTACTTGATCTCACATTTATTACATAAGGGCAGATAGAAAGAACAGTCAATTAACTTACAAAAAAAACAATCAATATTTAGTAAATGGAGCATAACGATCTTGTAGAATAGATGTCAAACCCCGACTTTCAAATTCCAAATTGTGGGATAAGAAGAAAATAAATTAAAACTCATTGCAAATAACCTTAAACTAAAGCCTTATTTATTAGTGAGCAATAATATGTTAATAAGTGTACATAAGTACAAAAGACAATGAATCTGAGTTCCCCAATTCATTCCTAACCCTTACAAATGAGGGTTGGCCTTCTTTTTCTATCTAAAAAAATTAGACACATAATCATCTTGTGTAAGGTCAAGGCACAATATTAGTCTGCAAACAGTTCCGAAGACAAATAGATGATCATCAAAGCAACCAACGGGCAACCTATTCAACACATTCAGTAAGGAAATGCACACAACAATTTATCTATGAAGGTTGAATCCTAAATTGATACATAAACACTAGATTATTCAATGGACTAGACAAGTACAAAAGTATCCGGAAACAAGATAAAAAAAAATAATGGTAAAATAAGATCAATGAAAAGAAAATTGGAATTTAAATACGAGATCTAATGAACATGTAGCTATTGCCACCTCAGACAATTGACTATAAAAATTGACTTTAATCGGGATCTAATTATCTTGTAAAAAATATATAAAATAAGTATTTCCATATCAGTAGTAAAATTAAAATTAACTGATACACATAAATATGGATACTGGCTAATTGAAAATTGCTGTTCAATTCAGCATATTACAAGGCTACATAAGATCAACAAAAGGAGTGTGATAGAGATCTGGTCTGAGTGTTGAATGAGTTACAAAATTTGGAGAACCCACTGGATCGAGGGGTCTACATAACATATGAACCAGTAGAAAGAGAAAACCTAGATCTAGGGTTTCGTTTCAGCCTCAAGGGAGAGATCTAACTAGAAACGGTGAGAGAGACTAACCTGCTTCAAGCTGTCATCGGTCTCCTTCGCTATCGCCGGCGATGGCTCTGTGTCTTTAGCGCGAGAAAATGACGATCTGACTGAGTATTTCCGAATAACCCTTGAAGAAGCAAAGAAGATAATGAAGATTTTAGGGCTTTACACACACGAGGGAGCACTCTGGAAGGCATTTGCCTAGCGAGGCCTCCATCGTAAGGCGAATACCTTTAGCGTGGTCGACGACTTCGATGGTGTTCTAGGATCTCTCGAATGCTTCGAGGAGGTAGAGATCGACGCCGCTGTTTAAAGTGTCGGCGACGGCCATCGTCGGCGACGGCTCGAGGAAGGTCATCAATGTTGTCGGTGGAGGCTCATTTGTGATTGGGGATGTGGTTGCGAGGAAGGTCGTCAACTCGTTGCGAGCGTTTGCGTTTTTGGTTTCGATTGAGGAAAGAGAGTAGAGAGCGTAAGTGAGTGGAGAGAGAATTTGAGGTGAGCGAGAAGAAATAATTATGGGGCGGAGAGGTTAGGGATTGGTGGTGGGTTTGAGGGAGAAGCAGTGGCGGCTTGTTAGGGTTACTTTTTCTTTAATACTGTAATTCGTTTGGCCGCAAAAAAAAAAAAAAAAAACAAAAAACAAAAAAAAAAGAATTAAGTTTTTTTTAATTTTTAAATAAAAAAAATTAAAAAGAATTATTTTTTTCTTTGTCATTAAAAAGAATTATTTTTAGATCACGGTTTTTAGAGTTCTCTGAATATAAGTTTTTTTTTTTAAAAATTTTTAAATTGAGTTTTTTATTATTTTTTTCCAAAGTTGGAGATAGATACCTGGTAGCCCACAAGATAGGACGTTGGTCTCGTCTGTCAAATAATTGGCCCAAACAAAATGGTCCTTTAGCATGAGGGGGCTTGGTCCATAAACATTTGGATGGGCTTTTTAAGAAAAAGATCCAAACTGCAGGACTGCAGATAGAGATTCCATGGAGTAATCCTATTGCGTCTATTTTTATTTAGAGTTAGAACTTCCTTTCTCGACCAAAAATCCAATCTTTAAAACAAAAAATCCAATCTTTGTTTGTCCCATGAAGAAACTAGTGCTCATATTCAATCTCACACTTTGAGGTAACTCTTTTTCTGCTTTAGACGTGATTTCTGTGTTTTCTTCTTCACAATAATTCCTATTAGATTTGTTTTCATAAATTCTTTTCTTCTTTACATAAATTTCTATTAAATTTAGAGTTGTCATAAGCTCCTTTGTTTTAGTTTTAGTTTTAGTTTTTTGAAAGGTCTATTAGATTTGTTTTCATAAACTCTACTTTACAAAAATTTCTATTAAATTTAGAGTTGTCAAGCTCCTTTAATCGGTAATTGTGTTTTTTTTGGGTAGCCTATGCAGAGATTATTAGCTAGAAATTATGAGTAAAAGAACGCAAAAGCACGAGGTACAATATTTTATATTTTATATGCATATAAATCTTTCAAAATTTATATTCGGTCTCTCTCTGTCTCTCTTTTTTTTTTTTTTTCCGCCAATTGGATTAGCATGTTGTTTTTGCAGAAGCATTCTTTTTCATTTTTTTATTTTTAAAATTATTTTGGTTCATCAGAGTCAGAACTACATTGAGGATGGGATCAGTCGGCTGCCGGATGAAATTACTGTTTCAGTTCTCTGTCTTCTGGGAATTTTGATGCTTCACAAACAATTTTTGATCTTGAATCGAATCCAAAGTTACTGAAAGTAGAAAGATGTAGGTACATAAGTTGGGTGAACAAAGTCACGGAGTCGCATCGTGGTTCAACCATAGATGAGCTTAGGGTTTCTTTTTGTTTGAATAGATCTTCTAGTTGTGTGATTGATAGATGGATTGAGTTCGCGATAGCAAAGAGAGTTCAAAGGCTTGAGGTGGACTTGGAACCATGTTACTATGGATTGAGTCCCGATAGCAAAGAGAGCTCTAGAAAATTGGTTTGAGTCTGACTGCAGATATTTTTTGTACAAAATTATACCAAATGTTAGGTCTTGAATCTTGATCGAGTCCATCCTCCCCACATCACACTTAACCCCAACACTAGGTAGTGAATTTTTAAAATTTTTATTAATATTAACTCATGCTTTTCAGGCTAATGCAGCATTCGAACAACTTCCTGAATTTAGCAAGCTCAAGCACTTGACATTGCAACTTGTAGCAGATTATTTTTCAAAACTTCTCGTTTGGACTACCTTGATAAATGGATCACCTTTGCTGCATAAATTTAAATTGCAGGTAATTATAAATTTTTTTTATATAGATGTTTTGTATAATGACACTGGATAATTATTTCTCGTATCTTCCTCTCTCAGTTAGGGGTGGCAAATTATGACACGACACGACATCCCGACATGAATACGACACGAGTTAAAAGGGTTTGGGTTTGGCATAAACGAATTTGGGTCATAAAAGGGCCTACACGATTAACCCGTTTACTTAACCGTGTCGGGTTAGGGTTGAAGGGTTCAACCCGTGTAACCCGTTTAAGACCCATTTAACTTAACATGTTATAATCATGAATATAACCTATATAATATATTACCTATTTAAACCCAATTACTATGAACAGTTAAGTCATTGCAACATAAACCTTGTCTATGCCTTATGATTTTTCTTTTTATTTTGAATATCTGGTAAATTATGACAATATTTTTCTATTATTTAGTATTTAATTAAATATTAAATGTCTCGTTTTAATAAATAGGTTATTAAACGGGTTAACACGATTACCTGTTTAATAAATGGGTTGGGTTCGTATTGAGATTCTTGACACGATTATTAAATAGTTTAGATTTTGGTTTACCTATTTAGTATAATACCTTTACATCGACACGACCCACGAACACAAATTGCCACCCCTACGCTCAGCAATGGCCATGGATAGAAGTCACTTGCATTTGATAATGGTCTTCTTTATTTGAAGTTTTTAAATTTTTCAGTTAAAATTGTAGTAATCTATATAATTGGAAGTCATTAAAAAATAAAAATAAAAATAAAAATCTGTGTAGGATCCATCATTTAAATAACAGTGTATCATATATCTACTTGAAGTTGAAAGACATAACCGAAAAATAAAAAGCATATTACAATTGAAATATATAGTGGTCGTTGCTTAATAACTAAATCTCAATTTGTATTAACGGAATATGTTATTTTATTTTATTTTAATGTGTTATAGTAGTTCCATAAAGAAAGGCATGAGAGGGTCACAACCAATGCATTTAGTATTTTGTTTGATCTGTAAATCCAGCTAAGATTGAAAGACAAGTTTTATAGATCAACTAATAGACCAATTGTTTTTTACAGGATAGAATGCTAGGCAATTAAGAAACAACATATATCCTTAACATTTTAACATTTACATATATACAATGTTTTTGCTAATTACCTATTATATATTTTTAGTTACAATTATATTCTTGTCCAATACTAAAAAGTGTCAATTGCATCTTTTTAGATATGTTGATCCCATTTCAAAATTTGTTGGGGATGACTTTTTTTTTACATATATGCAATGTGTTACACAAGACTTGTTTTAGTCTAAAATAATGAAATTTATTTTTGAGTTACGGACACATAAATGAAAGAGATACTTCCTTTTAGTGTCCCCTACGACAATATTGTTTCTCAATGAGTTGGCACGGCTGTCCATGTACGTAAAGAAAAATTTACTCGAATTTCTTTTAGTGGAACAACCTGTAATAGTTGTGATGTTTGTAAAGTACATTTTTTACTAAACGGAACCGAATATACTATTTACAATATATTGCTATTATATGCTATACAAATTGAGTCAAAAAGGGCACGTTTATTTTTTATTTTTTATATTTTTTTTAATTTATAAATCAGTAAAAAAATTTAGCATAAACTAGTGATTTAAATTGGCAATAGAAAGGTTGTACGTAGTATTTATTAAGCTTACCCATGTGGTACTACTTCTCACTTTGGGTGATTAGATCATTCTCATTGTCATGCCTGTAATTGCAAAAATTAGTTTTGAAAATTATGTACTCAATTATTAATATTTAAATTGATGATGTGTTAGTTGCAGTATAGTTTCGCAATATCAATCGTGTTACAAATCATGATTAGCAGTATTGGTCGCGATGTAACATATTCAAAACAAAACCAGCATAAACTAACTGATATAGATTAATTGAACTCAAAAAAATAACCGATACAAACCATAGTTTAAACGATTTGATACTCCCTAACATAGGGTTAAGTATTTGAAATGAAATCCTTGTTTGAAAATAATTGAAATTTTAAGATGCTAAAACATTTACTCGTACTCTCAGAACCAACAACTGCTGGAAGCATACATTTAACTATAACCCTAATCATTTTCATGAAACTAAATCAGAAACAATTCATTGAAAAAAAGACCCTTTCTCAAGGGTGTCCCACTCCCCTAGACAGCCCTCAAATTATAGGCATGCCTCCTTTTTTTTCAACATTTTTCGGAGTTCCACAAGATACTGTGTTTATATCCACGCAATCCATCTTCAGCGTCGGGCTTGATCACAGATTACAAAAAGTGTTTATTTACTCGTACGCTCGGAATATCCAGCCTCTGGAACGCAGAACAAAGTTTCTTCGAGTTATGTCCGTCGAGTTATGTCCCTGCCAACAACTGCTGGAAGCATACATTTAACTACAGCCCTAATTATTTTCATGAAACTAAACCAGAAACAATTCATTGAAAAAAAACCCTTCGGGCTTGATACTCTAGAAGAAAAAAACACACTGCATTAAAATATTAACTACATGATTGCACTGGTTATTCAAATTCTTCACATTACTAAACAGTCCAATATTACTAAAATCGTACACAATGATTAAATCCAAACCCACCATGAATGGGAATCTTCTCAGTTCTGAACATTTGTTCGAATGCAATGCGTGCAGCAAATTTCAGATTTGGAGCATATACAATCTGAGCTCGTGTACATCCCCGGAAAAGGTCCTCAATCTCTACAAGTTTCCCCTCACTTTCTTTGATTCTTTACTCACATGATTTCAAATAAGTCCGAACAAAAGTGTACATAAGTACAGAAGCCGAACAAAAGTGTACATAAGTACAGAAGACGATGAATCTGAATTCGTACAGAAGACTATGAATCTGAATTCCTCAATAATGTCATTTCTAACCCTTATAAAAGAGCATTGGCCTTCTTTTACTATCTAAAAAAATAGACGTAGGTTAAGACAATCTTATAGAATCGAACTACTTGATCTCACATATAAATAAACAAGAATAGAAAACAGTTCAGGGTAGTCAATTAACTTCAAAAAAACAAAACAATCAATTTTTAGTAAATTGGGCCTAACAATCTGAACTACTTAATCTCACATTTATTAAATAAATAAGGGCAGATACAAAGAATAGTCAATTAACTTGAAAAAAAAAAAAAAAAAATCAATTTTTAGTAAATGGAGAATAGATGTCAAACCCCGACTTTCAAATTTCAAATTGTGGGATAGAAGAAAATAAATTAAAACTCGTTGCAAATAACCTTAAACTAAAGCATTATTTATTAGTTTATTTTATTCACACACATATATATACACACACATTTACAAAAATATCTGAGTGCTAGCTAATAACATGTATATTGTTTATACTTTGTCTAGCTAAGGGTCCATAATCACGTAATCGCTGAGCAATAATATGTTAATAAGTGTACATAAGTACAAAAGACGATGAATATGAGTTCCTCAATAATGTGATTTCTAACCCTTATAAAAGAGCATTGGCCTTCTTTTACCATCTAAAAAATTAGACACATAATCATCTTGTGTAAGGTCAAGGCACAATATTAGTCTGCAAACAGTTCTGAAGACAAATAGATGATCAACAAAGCAACCAACATGCCACCTAATCAACAAATCCGGTAAGGAAATGCACACATCTATGAAGGTTGAATCCTAAATTGATACATAAACACTAGATTATTCAATGGACTAGATATACAAAAGTAAAAGTATCCGGAAACAAGATAAAAAATAATAATAATAAAATAAGATCAATGAAAAGAAAATTGGAATTTAAATACGAGATCTAATGAACATGTAGCTATTGCCACCTCAGACAATTGACTATAAAAATTGACTTTAAACGGGATCTAATTATCTTGTAAAAAATATATAAAATAATTTATCCATATCAGTAGTAAAATTAACTGATACACATATATATGGATACTGGCTAATTGAAAATTGTTCTTCAATTCAGCATATTACAAGGCTACATAAGATCAACAAAAGAAGTGTGCTAGAGATCTGGTCAACAGATCTGGTCTGAGTGTTGAATGAGTTACAAAATCCTAACTCGGCAACCACATAACATTTGAACCAGTAGAAAGAGCAAACCTAGATCTAGGGTTTCGTTTCAGCCTCAAGGGAGAGATCTAACTAGAAACGGTGAGAGAGACTAACCTGCTTCAAGCTGTCATCGGTCTCCTTCGCTATCGCCGGCGATGGCTCTGTGTCTTTAGCGCGAGAAAATAACGATCTGACTGCGTATTTCCGAAGAACCCGAACCCTTGAAGAAGCAAAGAAGATAATGAAGATTTTAGGGCTTTACACACACGAGGGAGCACTCTGGAAGGTATTTGCCTAGCGAGGCCTCCATGGTCAGGCAAATACCTTTAGCGTGGTCGACGACTTCGATGGTGTTATAGGATCTCTCGAATGCTTCGAGGAGGTAGAGATCGACGCAGCTGTTTAAAGTGGCGGGTGGTGGTCATCGTCGGCGACGGCTCGAGGAAGGTCATCAACGTTGCTCATTTGTGTTTGGGGATGTGGTTGCGAGGAAGGTCGTCAACTCGTTGCGAGCGTTTGCGTTTTTGGTTTCGATTGAGGAAAGAGAGTAGAGAGCGAAAGAGAGTGGAGAGAGAATTTGGGGTGAGCGAGGAGAAATAATTATGGGGCGGAGAGGCTAGGGATTGGTGGTGGGTTTGAGGGAGAAGCAGTGCCGGCTTGTTTGGCTTTAGGGTTAGGGTAAAGAGAATAAGTGAGCGAGGAGAGAGAAAATTTGGGTTTTTAGATGGATTGTACCCGTTAACCCATTTGCTATCTAAAAAAATTTCAGATCCGAGACTGACTTTATGTCATTCAAAGCTTGTTTCTATGTTTCCAAAAGCAACTGTACTTTTTCTTTAAAACTGTAATTCGTTTGGCCCAAAAAAAAAAACAAAGAAAAGAACAGAAAAGACTACAGTTGCTTTTGGAAACACAGAATCACCATATTCAAAATAAATTAGAAAAAAATAGGATACGTTTTCTTTGTCATTAAAAAGAATTATTTTTAGATCACACTTTTTTGAGTTCTCTAAAAATAAGTTTTTTTTTTTTTTTTAATTTTTAAATTGAGTTTTTTATTATTTTTTTCCAAAGTTGGAGATAGATACCTGGTAGCCCACAAGATAGGAAGTTGGGCTCGTCTGTGAAATTATTGGCCCAAAAAAAAAGGTCCTTTAGTATAAGGGGACTTGGTCCATGAACTTTTGGATGGGCTTTTTGAGATAAAGATCCAAACTGCAAACTGCAAACTGCAGATAGATTCCATGGAGTAATCCTATTACGTCTATTTTTATTTAGAGTGAGAACTTCCTTTCTCGACCAAAAATCCAATCATTAGAGTTGTCATAAGCTCCCTTCTTCTTTTTTTTTTTAAAAAAAGGTCTATTAGATTTGTTTACATAAACTCTACTGAGGAGGCCCAGGACGACATGGGCCGGATCTGACTTGCAAGCACGACATCCGGTCCGTACAGCTGGGTCGGCCCATAAAAAGACACTGCCATATGGGCCGAACGCGAATAAGCCCATCAAAGGTGACCAGGACTTATGGAGGAACAGGCCCAGATTCAGCAATCCGCCAATTGAAGATGCAAGAAATTCATACTCCTTTTCTCTCTCTAGAATTCTTACATTTCAACAAAAAGATTCCCTCATTCTTTCCATTCCTTCTTCTATTTATAGATATTTACAAGATATTTACAAATATTGACGGATTGCTGGATCTGGGCCTGTTCCTCCATAAGTCCTGGTCACCTTTGATGGGCTTATTCGCGTTCGGCCCATATGGCAGTGTCTTTTTATGGGCCGACCCAGCTGTACGGACCGGATGTCATGCTTGCAAGTCAGATCCGGCCCATGTCGTCCTGGGCCTCCTCAACTGCCCCCATAATTGCCCCTTATTTAATAAGGGGGTAATTATTGATGGCGTCTCATCATGACGTTGACGGCTCGAGAAAACCACGTGGGGGAACGGACGGTCAGATCCAGAATCAATGTTCCGGGGCTCGATGAATTTCTCGCCTTCCTGACGCTTCGGCCCTCGGGCCCCCCTCGCCTTTATAAGGCTCTAGAATACCACTTCACGTCTTTTTACCGTCTCCATCATCAGTCAAATCTCTCTCTTTTTAGAACAGTGCTAAGCTTTTTCTGGTGAAATCCTTCAAGAGTCATTCTTCCAGCGATCTTGCAGTCCTCAGAGGTTAGTTTTGTTCCTTTTTACTTTCGGCAGGCTTCTATTTACCCCCTTTTAGATCCTTCAAGCACTTCCACCATGGTTGTAGATCTGGATGTTCTTCGTATGAGACTTAGACTTCCTGACAACATCGAAGTTAGGGTTTGCCCTAAGGACGTTAACATTATGACCGGTGCCGGCCTCCTGCCCGGCGAAGTCTTATTCACGAACCTTCAATTGAATGTCGTTAGGTTCCCTCTGCACCCTTTCTTTAGTTATGTCTTCAATAGATTGGGGATATCCCCCCTGCAGGTAAACCCCAATTTCTTTAGAATCATATCCGTTATGCTCCTGTTGATGCGTGACAGAAATCTGGACCTTGACCTCATAGATCTTCTTCTGTGTTATAAGGTCAGTAAGATCCGTACTAACGAACCCTTCTACCACCTCTACCCGTTCGAGAAGATGTCCATATGTACGGACACAATAAAATCTGAAAAGGGTTGGAGGGATAGCATCGTGGGCATTAGTGGGGCTTGGTCTTCGCCGGCTGCAGAGGGTTACCCATTCCCGAGCGCCTTTGGTGTCTGTTCTGTTTCCTCCTATAAGAAATTCAAATCTCATAAACATGATTGCCCCTGCGAAACATGCGTTCCCCGTTTTTGTACTTTCTTATGCCGTTCCTTAGGAATACCTTGTGATGACTTGAGCTACAGTGTTTGCAGGGATAGGAGTAATTACTTGAAGAAATACGTTCTGAACGATATTCATTCCTGCTCAGATCTCCTCACTTCAGACAACCTCTTAGCGCTCTCATCACTCGGCTACAACATGAGCAGGCTTCAGATTCCTTCTTTTGGCAGGAAGAAAAATACTCCCCCAGCCACTCCTGCTGCTGGGGCGACCTCCTCTCCAGCATCAGCCTCTTCCTCAGCCACCATCTCTGACACTATCCAGAGCACAGTGGCTATTAACTCCGTTGTCAGCACCCCTGCTGCCAACCCGAGCGCGTCTCCCCAAACTACCACAACTCCTGCTGCCGCGGGGGGCGTTCGGGACAAAGAACGAGGCAAAAGGCCTCATCCTGACAGTGGAGTCGATCCTGAGGAGGAACCTCTCATAAGAAGGACCCGGGTCTCCGGGCCGGGTGCTCTCTTGCATCGTGCGATCAGAGCTCCTGCTCCCTCCGGGCCTACTGCAGCTGGTGCCTCTGCTTCTGCTTCAGGCCCCCCTTCTATCCCCACCTTACCGCCATGGGCCCCTCGGTACACCCGAACGGATGGGACGTTCGTGAAACCGAACGAGACCATGCTGAAGGATGGCCAGACCGCCATGGCGTACTATAGGAGCATGTGGACTCCGAAAGACCTTGAGGCGGCAAAGGGCCAATCCCAGAAGGATGTGTTCAGCCGCTTTCCCCAATCTGCTATGGAGGTGACTTTTATTTTCCAACTCATGAATTCTCTCATATTATTTGGTCTTGCCTTCGCCCGACCTGACTATTGGCTTAACCGTTATTAATGTACATCTATGCAGACATTGTTCGGAATGATGGCTATGCAGAAGCAGGTGGAGATGGGGAACGCCAGGGCTCGTAAGTTTTCTGATAGCCTGGAGGTGGCTAATAAATAAAACGACCTTCTCGCCATCAAGAATACCGAGGTACTGGCTCGGCTTGAAAAAACTGAACAAGAGAGAGATGTCCTGAAGAAGGAGAATGACTCTCTTCAAGATGAGAAGGATGCCCTCCAGCTTGAAAAGAGCGTCTGGCAGACTGAGCGTGATTCAATCAGAGACGAAAAGGCAGAGCTCCAGCGCCTTCTGGCTGATGAACAGTCTGCTCGGATGGCTTTTGAGAAGAGAGCTCTGGACGAGCGTACCGCTCTGATCGATGCGATCAGCAGAGTGAGCGGTGGGATGCTGGCTCTTCACGCTCGGTTCTCAAGGGTCGGTGCTCTTAGATATGCTCAAGGATTCCGAGAAGGTTTCGCCGACCGAGTTCCGGATGAGGGACAGACCAGTTCCACTCCAGATGAGGTCGACAAGGATTTAGGGATCGAACCTCTAGGGGTCTATGTCGACCCAGAACGCACCGAAGCGGAGCGCATATTCGATGAGTGCCAGGACATTGCTTCCTCAAGGATCATTACAGCTCCTCCTACCGCTCTGCCTCTGACCGCTCCTCAATCGTCAACTGTGGTACCTTCCATAGCCACTGCTGACGCTGAGCCCCAGCCGAACGATTCAGTCATTCATCTTGATTCCCCACCTCGTGAAGGTGAGACGGCTGATGGGGCCGAGGAGGCGGGTCGGCACAACCAGGATGCTGTTGGTACTGAGGCATCTAGCTAGGGCTCCTCCGGACTCTTCGATTCCATACCTTTTTGTAACGATGGACATCTCACTTTTTGTAAACTCAATGCTTAATATCAATGAAATGACAGAACTCTTTTTCCCTTTGTGTTGTGCTCTGTTCAACCTATTTTCAATACATATATACCTTTTCTCTCTTTTCTTTTATATTAGCTTTGCTGTGTGTTTGTTTATGGCAAGTGCCTGGCGCTCGGCTAGAATGCCACTTGCCACTTGGCTTTAAATTTTTAGCAAGTGTCTGGCGTTCGGCTTATGGTGCCAGCTGCCACTTATCTTGCTTAAGTGCCTGGCGCTCGGCTAGAATGCCACTTGCCACTTGCCTTTAAATTTTTAGCAAGTGTCTGGCGTTCGGCTTATGGTGCCAGCTGCCACTTATCTTGCTTAAGTGCCTGGCGCTCGGCTAGAATGCCACTTGCCACTTGGCTTTAAATTTTTAGCAAGTGTCTGGCGTTCGGCTTATGGTGCCAGCTGCCACTTATCTTGCTTAAGTGCCTGGCGCTCGGCTAGAATGCCACTTGCCACTTGGCTTTAAATTTTTAGCAAGTGTCTGGCGTTCGGCTTATGGTGCCAGCTGCCACTTATCTTGCTTAAGTGCCTGGCGCTCGGCTAGAATGCCACTTGCCACTTGGCTTTAAATTTTTAGCAAGTGTCTGGCGTTCGGCTTATGGTGCCAGCTGCCACTTATCTTGCTTAAGTGTCTGGCGCTCGGCTAGAATGCCACTTGCCACTTGGCTTTAAATTTTTAGCAAGTGTCTGGCGTTCGGCTTATGGTGCCAGCTGCCACTTATCTTGCTTAAGTGCCTGGCGCTCGGCTAGAATGCCACTTGCCACTTGGCTTTAAATTTTTAGCAAGTGGCTGGGGGAGTATTTTTCTTCCTGCCAAAAGAAGGAATCTGAAGCCTGCTCATGTTGTAGCCGAGTGATGAGAGCGCTAAGAGGTTGTCTGAAGTGAGGAGATCTGAGCAGGAAAGAATATCGTTCAGAACGTATTTCTTCAAGTAATTACTCCTATCCCTGCAAACACTGTAGCTCAAGTCATCACAAGGTATTCCTAAGGAACGGCATAAGAAAGTACAAAAACGGGGAACGCATGTTTCGCAGGGGCAATCATGTTTATGAGATTTGAATTTCTTATAGGAGGAAACAGAACAGACACCAAAGGCGCTCGGGATTGGGTAACCCTCTGCAGCCGGCGAAGACCAAGCCCCACTAATGCCCACGATGCTATCCCTCCAACCCTTTTCAGATTTTATTGTGTCCGTACATATGGACATCTTCTCGAACGGGTAGAGGTGGTAGAAGGGTTCGTTAGTACGGATCTTACTGACCTTATAACACAGAAGAAGATCTATGAGGTCAAGGTCCAGATTTCTGTCACGCATCAACAGGAGCATAACGGATATGATTCTAAAGAAATTGGGGTTTACCTGCAGGGGGGATATCCCCAATCTATTGAAGACATAACTAAAGAAAGGGTGCAGAGGGAACCTAACGACATTCAATTGAAGGTTCGTGAATAAGACTTCGCCGGGCAGGAGGCCGGCACCGGTCATAATGTTAACGTCCTTAGGGCAAACCCTAACTTCGATGTTGTCAGGAAGTCTAAGTCTCATACGAAG